AATATTTCAAAAATTTATTTTTTGACCGGACATGGCTAGAACGACTGGGCTGTTGATGCTGATCAAGAATATATATGGTTTGTAGGGTCGGAAATGATTCCTTCGCAGAGTTACAAGCTTCTGACTTTAGTTATACCCAACAAAAAAGGTATAAAAACAGACAATTTTTCCGAAAAATCAAAGTTTTTCGGACATCATAACTAAGCCGAAATTGCATTAATTTTAATTCGGAAAGCTTTTCTGAGCTAGTTATTATTGCATTAACATATCTGCCTACTGCGTTTGTTGATGCTGTTGTCAGTTTTTGACTAAAATTATAAAACCCAGCAAAAAGGTATAAAAACAGACCATTTTTCCCCACAAATCACAGTTTCTAAAACTCATAACTAAGCCGAAAAATCATTTATTTTAATTCGGGAAGCTGTTCTATGCTAATCTTTAATAAATTAACAAATCTGCTTACTCATTTTTAAAATTTAAAAATTCAATTCATTGTTAAATTTATAAAATTTTCAGTTTTCGAAAATATTTCAAAAATTTATTTTTTGACCGGACATGGCTAGAACGACTGGGCTTTTGATGCTGATCAAGTAAATATATGGTTTGTAGGGTCGGAAATGATTCCTTCGCAGAGTTACAAGCTTCTGACTTTAGTTATACCCAACAAAAAAGGTATAAAAACAGACAATTTTTCCGAAAAATCAAAGTTTTTCGGAATTCATAACTAAGCCGAAATTGCATTAATTTTAATTCGGAAAGCTTTTCTGAGCTAGTTATTATTGCATTAACATATCTGCCTACTGCGTTTGTTGATGCTGTTGTCAGTTTTTGACTAAAACTATAAAACCCAGCAAAAAGGTATAAAACAGGCCATTTTTCCCCACAAATCACAGTTTCTAAAACTCATAACTAAGCCAAAAAATCATTTATTTTAATTCGGAAAGCTGTTCTATGCTAATCTTTAATAAATTAACAAATCTGCATACTCAGTTTTCAAATTTAAAAAATTCAATTCATTGTTAAATTTTGACAATTTTAATGATGTAACCCCTTATAAAATTCTCAGTTTTCGAAAATATTTCAAAAATTTATTTTTTGACCGGACATGGCTAGAACGACTGGGCTGTTGATGCTGATCAAGTAAATATATGGTTTGTAGGGTCGGAAATGATTCCTTCGCAGAGTTACAAGCTTCTGACTTTAGTTATACCCAACAAAAAAGGTATAAAAACAGACAATTTTTCCGAAAAATCAAAGTTTTTCGGACATCATAACTAAGCCGAAATTGCATTAATTTTAATTCGGAAAGCTTTTCTGAGCTAGTTATTATTGCATTAACATATCTGCCTACTGCGTTTGTTGATGCTGTTGTCAGTTTTTGACTAAAACTATAAAACCCAGCAAAAAGGTATAAAAACAGGCAATTTTTCCCCACAAATCACAGTTTCTAAAACTCATAACTAAGCCAAAAAATCATTTATTTTAATTCGGAAAGCTGTTCTATGCTAATCTTTAATAAATTAACAAATCTGCATACTCAGTTTTCAAATTTAAAAAATTCAATTCATTGTTAAATTTTGACAATTTTAATGATGTAACCCCTTATAAAATTCTCAGTTTTCGAAAATATTTCAAAAATTTATTTTTTGACCGGACATGGCTAGAACGACTGGGCTGTTGATGCTGATCAAGTAAATATATGGTTTGTAGGGTCGGAAATGATTCCTTCGCAGAGTTACAAGCTTCTGACTTTAGTTATACCCAACAAAAAAGGTATAAAAACAGACAATTTTTCCGAAAAATCAAAGTTTTTCGGACATCATAACTAAGCCGAAATTGCATTAATTTTAATTCGGAAAGCTTTTCTGAGCTAGTTATTATTGCATTAACATATCTGCCTACTGCGTTTGTTGATGCTGTTGTCAGTTTTTGACTAAAATTATAAAACCCAGCAAAAAGGTATAAAAACAGGCCATTGTTCCCCACAAATCACAGTTTCTAAACTCATAACTAAGCCGAAAAATCATTTATTTTAATTCGGGAAGCTGTTCTATGCTAATCTTTAATAAATTAACAAATCTGCATACTCATTTTTAAAATTTAAAAAATTCAATTCATTGTTAAATTTTGACAATTTTAATGATGTAACCCCTTATAAAATTCTCAGTTTTCGAAAATATTTCAAAAATGTATTTTTTGACCGGACATGGCTAGAACGACTGGGCTGTTGATGCTGATCAAGTAAATATATGGTTTGTAGGGTCGGAAATGATTCCTTCGCAGAGTTACAAGCTTCTGACTTAAGTTATACCCAACAAAAAAGGTATAAAAACAGACAATTTTTCCGAAAAATCAAAGTTTTTCGGACATCATAACTAAGCCGAAATTGCATTAATTTTAATTCGGAAAGCTTTTCTGAGCTAGTTATTATTGCATTAACATATCTGCCTACTGCGTTTGTTGATGCTGTTGTCAGTTTTGACTAAAATTATAAAACCCAGCAAAAAGGTATAAAAACAGGCCATTTTTCCCCACAAATCACAGTTTCTAAAACTCATAACTAAGCCGAAAAATCATTTATTTTAATTCGGGAAGCTGTTCTATGCTAATCTTTAATAAATTAACAAATCTGCATACTCAGTTTTCAAATTTAAAAAATTCAATTCTTTGTCAAATTTTGACAATTTTAATGATGTAACCCCTTATAAAATTCTCAGTTTTCGAAAATATTTCAAAAATTTATTTTTTGACCGGACATGGCTAGAACGACTGGGCTGTTGATGCTGATCAAGAATATATATGGTTTGTAGGGTCGGAAATGATTCCTTCGCAGAGTTACAAGCTTCTGACTTTAGTTATACCCAACAAAAAAGGTATAAAAACAGACAATTTTTTCGAAAAATCCAAGTTTTTCGGACATCATAACTAAGCCGAAATTGCATTAATTTTAATTCGGAAAGCTTTTCTGAGCTAGTTATTATTGCATTAACATATCTGCCTACTGCGTTTGTTGATGCTGTTGTCAGTTTTTGACTAAAATTATAAAACCCAGCAAAAAGGTATAAAAACAGGCCATTTTTCCCCACAAATCACAGTTTCTAAAACTCATAACTAAGCCGAAAAATCATTTATTTTAATTCGGGAAGCTGTTCTATGCTAATCTTTAATAAATTAACAAATCTGCATACTCAGTTTTCAAATTTAAAAAATTCAATTCTTTGTCAAATTTTGACAATTTTAATGATGTAACCCCTTATAAAATTTTCAGTTTTCGAAAATATTTCAAGAATTTATTTTTTGACCGGACATGGCTAGAACGGCTGGACTGTTGATGCTGATCAAGAATATATATGGTTTGTAGGGTCGGAAATGATTTCTGCTTTGCATCATGACCTAAATTTAAGTCATGATAATTTAGGTCATGATGCAAAATTATATTACCCTCAAAGGATATAAAAATAATGATCTATATTCTAGAGAGAGACAACAGTATGAAATATATATGAATATATGTATCAGAAAAAGGTAAATAAAAGGTAGTTATTTACTTTATTATTTATTACTTTACGAAAAAAACTTATAAATGGAATAAATAATATTAATTTAAAGTATTTAATTTGGCAATTCATTTTATCACTTTTACCAGCACTTACTTTTGTATTTTATTTGTATCGTTGAAAAAAAAGGGTTAAAATCACGCATATCTGCGTTCGAGTATCGCCTGGAGGGCGGGGACTTCAACAAGTGCGAATAGTACCCCCTTTCTGAAGTTCCCCCTGAGACTCCTAAAAACCCCTTCAGTAAGTGTTAAGTGCTCTGCGCTTGCGTAAAACGCTTTGAAAATTATGCATAGAGTGGGCCAAGAAAAAAGTCACTGGCAATTAACTGGCAGCCACAACTCTTTCGGCATTGTTGCTGCTGCACTATATCACTTGAGTTATGGTCTCATAAGTTACCCTCGCCAGAGGCGTAGCGAATAAGAAACCCCTCTCCCCCTTGTAGAACGACCTTGCCAACGCCTCTGCCTCTACCGGACTTCGTTTATATTGTTCTTAGCACACATAAGTGCCGATTTGACTTTGTGCCCCACATAAAATAGTCTAGAAAACGAGTCTGGCCCGGCATCGGTCTTACGCACAGGTGTGTAACTGCCACGCCCATTAATTTCTGCACTCTGTGTTGTAATTAAGACTTTAAGACTCTGAATGCTCGAGCATTTACTGTGAAAATTTCTAACAACTCACGCATTCGCTGCGGCTTATTTAAATGATTTCAGTGGAAACTTGTTGGCCGCATGAAAATAAAGAATCGAAAAAGTCAAGAAACAAAATGCAATTTAAGTTTTTCTCACACACACCTTGTCGTGCAAAATGCTAAATAGAAAAAAAAGCAACACAAATATATCAGAAATTATTCAAAATCAAAATAGGGTTGCAATTAAGCATGGAAGTTGGGATACTCTAACTAGTTTTCTTTGTAGTCCTCAAACTACATTTAATATTTCTTTAATGTTGAGTGTTTAGTTACAGGATAACTGATAGATTTTACAAGGATATTACTCTTTACCCTTCAGTGGACAATTATTAGTCTAGGAGGAAAACACTTCTCACTTTCCAAATCCTTAAAAATCATATAAGACCTCCTGAAAGGGTATGACAAATCTTTGGCCAGACCAACATCCGCGTTGTCTGGGGCGGGGCCAGGCAGTGCTCTTTCGGGTCCCAGTCGAAGTCGGAGTTGCATTCGCCTGTCGCCTCCATCTCCACATCTACATCTCTGCCAGGCCTGACCGGCCAGCTTTTTGCATGGCTCTCTGGGCCGCCGACTCAGTTTTGGGCCCAGTCTCTCAGTTGAGCCAAAGTAAAAGTGCATTTGGCCAAGTCTCTGGGCCTGGTCTCGAATCCGTTCTCGGGCCACAATTTTGGCCAGGTTTGGGCTATAAAAGCATTTGTGTTTCTGACAGCGGCATTATTCAGCTTTGTGTTCTTGCCAAGAGTTCAGCCAGCAACAAAACCCAGAATGTTCAAATACGTAAGTGTTTCGAAAGTCCTTTGAAGGTGCTCGTTGATGTGTAACTGGATATATCCTGCCTCTCCACAGTTCGTTTTCGCCGTTTTCTGCCTGGCCAGCGCTGCCGCCGCTCCAGGATACTTGGGTGGTGCCCATGGATACTTGGGAGCTGCTCCGGCCGTCTCCTATGGTCATGCCCTGGCTGCTCCTTCGTACGCCTCCTATGGACTGGCGCCCAGGCTTAGCTATGCTGCCCCGGCTCTAGCCCGTCCGGCTATCTACTCCTCGCCCGCCCTGAGTCATGGATCTCTGGCTCTGGCTCATGCTCCGTTGGCCGTCTCCCATGCACCGCTGTCCCTGGCTCCTGCTCCGTTGTCCTTGGGCCATGCTCCCTTGGGCCTAGCACATGGTCCTTTGGGTCTGGCGCATGGCTCTTTGGGTCTGGCGCATCCTCAGTTGGGTCTTCATGGTTGGTAAATGGTGGAGAATCCCAGCATCGTTTCCTGCATCGCTTTCGTTTCGCTTGGATCGGAGGAGAAGTTGAATACACAGACAGAAAAATTGAGAGAGGTAAAAGAAGAGGGTAGAAGGAGCAGAGAGTTTCTTGTACAAATTTAAAAATTCTGTAAATAAGTGAGTTTGATGTTGAATTATAATTCGATTTTTTAGAAAAACAATCATATTTTGCCTTTTATGGGAAGTTTTTAATTTTATTTATGTGCTTATTTATAGTTTCTTTAAAACTAAACTAGGGTCATAACCCAGTTAGTAGTATAATTTTAATTTTCACATTATTTTAGAAAGTTCTACATTAAAAAATCATTTAAAATTTCAAATTATTTAAGGCAACAACGCATAGCCCCATAAATTGTATAATTTCCCCATGAGTTTCACAATCTTCAAAATAATCCACCTAAAAACATTCAAAATTTTCAATTTAATTCAAGATTTTCCAACTTCCAACGCATATTGATACTGGTTTTTTGATTGTTCAATTCAGTGTCTATTGATTTATTGACTTGCTGAGTGATTGACTGATTAAGGCTATCGTAATGCTTGGTATTGCGAAGTAAATGACTCGATTGAAGCTCTCACATGCTGCACGCTCGCCTTGGCTCCACTTGGCTTGAATCCGGATTGACATCTCTACCAGCCATGGCCGTAGCCATAGCCATGGCCCAGTCCGTAGCCCAGGCCGAGACCCAGGCCATGTCCGTAGAGTCCGTGTCCTCCGTAGCCGCCGATATATCCATGACCCAGGCCCAAGCCATAGCCGCCCAGATAGCTCTTGCCAATGATTGTCTTGGAAACGATGGGCGCATGATAGCCCAGTCCTAGGCCCAGTCCCAATCCTCCATAGTGACCACCGTAGAGGCCGCCAATGTGACCAATGTGGCCGATTCCGAGGCCCAATCCCAGGCCATATCCTCCATAGCCATGACCCAGTCCCAGGCCCAGTCCAATGCTAGGCGAAGGTGCTGGAGCTGGAGCTGGTTCTGGTGCGGGTTCTGGAGCTGGAGCTGCCAGGCCACTGGCCGTCAGGCAGAGGATTGTCACTAGTATCAGCTGGGAAATAATAATCATTAGTATTTATTATTAGTATTAATGGAATGTTTTGGTCGTTAGTGAAAAATAAATCTATAAGATTGGTAATTAGTTCAGAATAGCTGTGGAAAGATAAATACTATGCTGATTATTCCTTTTAGCAAAAACAAAATAAAACTGGTGACTCTTAATTTGCATTTCGACTGCCAAACATTTGTTTTTGTCGAACGATAATTTCTGAGAAGTAATGACACACCTTAATGCATCCCAGAAATCTTGTTAATAATTTAAGCAAATATGATATAAATGTTGCTTTGATGTGGTTATATGACGGATGTATGTATTAGCTTTAATTATAAAGAAATCAAAATTAATTAACGATTTTATTACTGTTTGTCTAAGCTGACTTGCTTCGATCTCTAAACTAATTTATTCCCATAAACAACTCAATTTGTCACTGTTAAATCACTTTATCCTTTATGCTTGAGGTTTCTGTTTATCCTTCAGAAATTCTTGAATTACTTACTCCTTTATTCATGTTGCTATGTTGCTGATTATAGTTTTCCTGCTGCTGCTAGAGAGGCTGGACCGAATGTGTTACTGCCACTGATCCCGGGCTGTGTCTTTTATATCAATCCCCAGTGCACCGGATTGCATCCCCAAAATGGACATCGATGATCTAATGAGCAGTGAGTGCAATTTGGCAAATTAAATCAAATTCATTGCACTGAAGTTGCCCAAGTGAGCAGGCATCCTTAGTGGCTGCATGGAGTGAATAACACCGAGTTCCAACACCTGTTTTCGTTGCGTTTGGGCCGTGGCTTCGCCTTTTGGGCCTCCATTGTATAATCTGCAATCGAGTTTGGCATTTACCAGTTTACAATAGTTCCAGTTCCAGTTTTTTTTTGTTTTTGTATTTATTTCTGCCTGTGGGCAGCTTAGGTCTTGTGGGTGGCCTTTGCCAGCGTTTCAGTCATGTGAGTTCAATCAGATTTAGCTAAGAACTATGGCTTGGTTTGGGGTCAATGAGCCTCGGATGTTTGGTCAGTGAAAATGTATCAAGTCAAGAAGATTAAGATGTTATTTGTTGTCAAGTCGATTTTTAGATGCTCTTAAAGTCTAAAAGATTTTAAAAATATATTTAAAAAATTAGCATAAATAATTAAAAGTCTAAAATTGATTGGAAAGATTTAATGTTTCCTTAAATAAAAGCGTAATTTGTTCAACAAGTTTCTATAAGAAAACTAGTATTACATATCTAAAGTAAATATATTTCTGTAAATCCCATAAAGACCTTTAATTTTTTTTCAGACCTCTTTATTTTAATTTAATTCCAGTTTCAATTCCCCATCGACCTCATATATACGGTATGCCCTAATAAAACGATTATAACAGCTTGAGCTTAAAGAGCACAAATCGCTGCTAAATCAAGACAAACTAATCAATTCTTGACACCTCCAACAGTCACATAAAAATAACTCAAAAACACAAGATTGGGCAATGATTATGTTTTGAGAGACAATAAAAACGGGGAAACAAAGCCAGATCCGAAGACGTGCGACCAACTAACTCACAACCCATAAATAAATATAAATAAAAATAATACCAAGAGACAAGAAGTAAACAAAAACAAAAACGAAGAAATGTAAAAAAGGCATAATTAAGTGCACAAAAGAGTCACTGACACTTTGACAATCTTCGGCGGCGTAGACGCTTTAAACTTGAACTTGAAAACGGGTTTTTCTCGAAGAGAAGGGGACAAAAGGCCAAGTGGAGTAGTGGAATAGTGGGAGATGTGGCTACCACTTACTATGCTATATGGGATGTTGCAACAGGTTCCCCAAGGAAATGCAGTTGGAACACTCCGAAAGGGGAGTGTCAACCGGTTCCTAACTGTTTCCCCAGGAAATCCAGCGATGAAGACGAGCCTATAAATTCATTGGCCTTCGTCCGATCTCTGTTTAGTCCAAGTGCAGTCCCAGCGAGAAAATCACCAGAGAGAATGCTCAAGGTAAACATGGTAATTAGTCAGATTCTTTGGGAATTATTATCTTTAATCTACCCTAAAGATTTTCGTGCTATTCGCCCTTTTGAGTGTGGGTCTGGCCGCCACGGTTATCTACCATCATCCATTGGTTTACCATCATCCTCTGCCGGTTGCCTCCACGCCGCAGGAGTTGGCCCAACATCCGGGTTACACCATTGTTGCACCACTCACCAAGATTGCCCATGTCACCTACGACTCTGTGCCCATCTCACACACACCCTACGAGCATGTTCCGCTCTTCCAGAGGATTGGTCATGTGAAGCATACGCGGTTCTAGGAGAATATAGAGAAGAATAGTGATGAGAAAATATTTGATTAGCATATGGAAATACGAAATAAATAAATAAATATAATTTAAAAAGTAACAAAATTACTATTTCGGCTTGAATAAAGTTTTTTTTAAATGTGGGAAACAAATCTGGCAAATTGGGGTTGTCTTCGCCAATAAATATTAGTTCAAGTCAAATCTTCTTCTCGACGTCTTCCGCCATAGCTTATTATTTCAATATATGTATAAATAAAACAACATTAATGAAAATCGATGACTTGCATTTTTAGGGCTAAACTAGAAATTAACATCTAGGGTTGTAGCTCGGTTAATAATGGATTGTTTCTTTTAGGGATTGACCTGAAATTAACTTTAATAATCCAATAGTAATCGTTTAGACAAAATTATTTATTTTGTAGTGAATAAAATGAGAAACATTTACAAAATGAAATGCATATATTCATAAAGCTCAAGTTAATAAATTATTAAGGCGATGTTTTTATATTTTTAGTCATAATATTTTTTAAGCTCTCTTTACGAGTGGTTAGAGTGGTACAGTTTCTAAAGCATATCATCGATATAACATCGATTGACCCTTGTAATCCTTTGTACTGTCAACTTTCATCGGAATTTTCTTTCACTTTCATTCTGCTGTCACCTGTGAAAAGTTCTTCGATTCCTGAGCTTTAATTTTAAAATCAAAAGAAATTATATAAAAGAGCTTCAAAGAAGAGGACCTCCGTTGCAATGACCTATCCAGGATTCCGCGACGCCCTGCTGGAAAGCATCCTGGACGAGATGATTAAGAACGGCGAGATAACCAAGACAGTGGCCGACAAGCTGAGGAAGATTGTCTACGAGAAATCCTTAATCTGGATAGTGGATGGAATCTGCCCTGATGGTCCTGAAGTTCCTGATCTCGATTCCGACTCCTAAAGCGAAGAATAAAAAAACAATGTCAAAAACCATAAGCTATACACAGCATTTTCGTTTAAAAGAATACTTTTTGATTTTTACTTTACGAAAGAAAACCATTTCGTGGCTTACTTGATTTCTTTTTAAAGATACATATATTCGAAGCCCAATAAATGATAGGTAAATAATTTGATTTATGTTATTTATTCGCCAAGCATTGCTGCTGTCTGGGGATGATGATTTGCACTAATTTCTACAAGCTAATAGGACGGATGGGCGTGAACTGAGTGATCCTGCAACTAAATCCTTAGAAGAAGTACGGGGCGGCAGCGGCGAACTTGGGAGCCACGGCCAGAGGTGCTGGCACTGGCACTGGAGCTGCGAACGGAGCAAATCCGAACTTGGCGGGAGCAGCAAAGGCCACCGGCGCCGGGGCAGGTGCGAATCCCAGAGGAGCACCCAGAGGAGCGGCCACTGCAGCGGGAGCAGCAAAGGCAACCTTGGGGGGAGCTGCCACAGCCACGGCTGGAGCAGGAGCAGCAAAAGCGGGCAGACCGAATCCAACCTTGGCGGGGGCAGCGAAGGCCACCGGAGCAGGAGCAGCCACTGGCAGGGGAGCAGGAGCAGCGAAGGCCACCGGCGCAGGAGCAGCCACAGGAACAGGCAGGGGAGCGGGAACGGGAGCAGCGAAGGCCACTGGTGCTGGGACTGGAGCCACTGGATAGGCCACAGCGTGGTTGATGCGGTGGGCATTGAAGCTGGAGGCATAGGGAGCCACGACGCCAGCAGTGGCCACAGGAGCAGCCACTGGTGCGGCCAGAGGAGCAGCAAATGGAGCCAGAGGAGCAGCCAGAGGAGCAGCCAGTGGCGCAGCTAGAGGAGCAGGAGCATGGAAGGGCAGGAGACCGGCCTGGGCAGTGGCCACGCAGAGGGCAACGAGCTGAAATGAATACGAAAATAAGTATCCTTGAAGGAAATCCTCTCAAGCTGGTATCCCCGGAAACTCACCACAATCTTGGCGAACATTTTGCTTGGATTAAGGATGAACTTGGTTAGCTGTGATTAGCTGGAGGGCAGACTGAACTGTGATGTCCAATTGTCCAATGGGCAATGCTTTTATAATTCTGTAACCCGCGGATAATCCGTGGCCAAGCATACGAAAACACCTTGGAAGACTTTCTATATTGGGCGCTGCATATGAAGGTTGGATCGGGGTGTTGTGGCTATATGTACTTAATAATCAATTGGTCGCCTCTTACGTCGCAGTGTCCCCGAAAACGACACTTTCATAATTGCACGCAATTCCCGACCATAACCTAGGCCAATGTTGGGCAAGATTTCGTTTGCAAGTTGCGCTTCTTTCGAACCTTTTTTCAGCTGGGTTTAAGCCACCAGTATTTGGTTAAAATATATGTAAGTAGGTACGTGTTACCACCCCCCAATGGCCACTTGGTTAAATCATTTAATCGAATTGCCACTTTTTTACCAGCTCTGCAACAATTGTCGCGTGTTTGGGTTGCGGCTGTGTGTGGAATTTCTGATTTGATTTCTTGTTGCGTGCGGTTGGAAATTCACTGACAACATTTCTGTGTTACCAAGTTTTACAATAGTGTGTGTGTGTGTGTGTTTTAGCCGAAATTGGAGGCATTACGACGCTTCGTCTGGTTCGTAATGAGAGTCTGAATCAGATATAAGTTATTTTTCTTTTGGCTAATTTTTGTTGTGACTATGATTTTATCACTTCTGGTTACATTCTTTCGAGTTTTTGTACATATTAATTTTTTGGGTATTTTGGTAGACATTGCAATAGACTAAAGGAATTCTAAGACTTTAAGCTATGAATAAATTTATTTTAATACCATTTAAGCAAATTAAATGCTAAATGCATTATATATTTTCCATTAAAAGAAGTATCAAATTTATATACAAATTATCGTTTTATTTAACTATAATTATTCGATAAATAATTGTTTAATTCGTAGATTAATATTTAACATTTACTAGCTGACTTTGATGATTCTTTGGTGATTCTTTCTCCATCATCCTTATAGGTTTCTAGAACAAGGACCAGTCCTTGTGATGGGCCCACTTCAGGGGCAGGGCCTTCAGGTGGACATGCGGCTTGGCCAGCAGCTTGGGAAAGGCGTACCCAATGGACACCTTGTGGGTGGTGGTCTTGGGTCCAGGAATGGCACGATAGCTGGGTGCAAAGGGTACTGCCTCCAGCACAGGTGGCAACACATGGTGATGAACAGTAGGCAGGTGGAACTCCGGTAAAAGTGGGGCAGCAGCTGGCAGGCATCCAGGTGCTGGTAAAACTGAAACTGGAGCGGGTAACAATGGAGCTGGGGCAGGCAACAGTGGAGCTGGAGCTGGAAGAAGTGGTGCTGGAGCTGGAAGAAGTGGTGCCGGAGCATAGACATGAGCTGGAGGTACGAAAGCTGGTGTCGGAGGAGCGAAAACAGGTGCTGGAGGAGCGAACACCGGTGTTGGAGGACCATCCAATGGCGGAGGACCATAAACCGGTGATGCAGGACCATAAACTGGACTAGGAGCAAAGGCCGGAGGAGGAGCCACTGCAGGAAGCACTGGAGCTGGAGCTGGCAGGACGGCCTCCTGCACCGCGTAATCCAAGTGATGTGGCAGGGCATGGAGCGCATCCAAGTGGTGTCCATCGAAGTGATTGAAATGGTGATTGAAGTGATGATGCGAAGGCTTTGCTTCGGCAGTCGCCGCCACCAGAAGGACGGCCACGGCAAATGCCTGTGAAAATAATTAATAATAATTAGTAAAGAAATTATTAATAGTCCTCATTGAATCCTCTCTCACCCATGTCAGTGACCACATCTTGCTTGGTGGATGGTTTCTTTGGTTTCTTGGGGGATTAGCTTTACGATCGATGCGCTCGACCTGTTGGTTCGACTGCCAATGTCTCTCCATTGTCAAGAGCCATTAATATTTATAGGGAAATTCAGTCAAAAGACTTGCACTTGCATTTCTTCACTTTCATAGCCTTTATGGGCGGCTTACCTGGGTTGGGTCGCTGGGCGGTGAGGTAACCCAGTCCCAATCCGGCTTAGTTGGTCAGCAAGTCGTGACTGCGACCGATCGGCCGAGGGGCCAGTAACTTCTTGGCCGATTTGAAAGCATAGCCAGCCCGTGATTATATAATAGTAGACAGACATTGACAGTTATCCAAACGTGGAATATGATTATGATAGCCAATAAATAATGCTTTTACCATAAATAACAATCGATTGCGCCTAAGGTGGCAACGCAATCCCACAGACAATTTGGTTTATTTACTAACTTCCTTAACCTACATTTTTGCTATGTTTTATTTAGGTTTTAAATAAGTTTGCATTTTTTATCCTTTTCTCATTAACTTTATCAGTGGCCACCAGAGAAATATTTCTTTACAATTATTTGTAAGTGCATATTATAAAATGTTAAAGGATTTCACCTAGAACTCCCCCATTAATTAGCTTAAATTAAATTACTTTGCTATTTTTATCATCTTTCAGGCCTTTAAGCTTATAACGATGTGAAAGAGTCATTTGCGACCCTATAAATCATATGTATTCTTGATCAGAATAAACAGTTAGTTTAGTAATAAGTTTTTTAATCTTTAATTTATGCAAAAATAGGACCACAAAATGCCGTTAAATTTTGATTAATTATAATGTCTAAAAATTTTAAATTAATTAAGCTGATTTATTAACCTAATACAAACAAACATAGGAAAGCTTCTCAAAATTTATTTTAATTGCAAGCTGGAAAAGTATGTAAACTTTGGCTTTCCAAAATAAGTTTCCTTCCTTGTTGTAAATGTAATTATTTAAGGTAATAACTTTTGTCAATAAAAGTGAAACTCCATTGATTGATAATTGATTGTTCGTTTTTTTAATCACAAAATTGTTTACAGAAATTGTCTATAGATTGTCTTGGTTCACAGGTGCGTCCTTAGACCACCACTGGAGCGGGAACAGCGGCAGCGAAGGGAGCGGTGTAGGGCGATGCCAGGTATTGTGAGGCATAGGGATAGGCGGAGTAGGCAGCGGCATAGGGAGCAGCATAAGGAGCGGCATAAGCAGCGGTGTAGGGAGCAGCAGCCAGAGGAGCAGCAACTGGAGCAGCCAGAGGAGCAGCAACTGGAGCAGCCAGAGGAGCAGCTAGAGGAGCAGCTGCATACTTGGCCACTACAGCAGGAGCAGCTGGGATGCCGGACACATAGCGGCTGGAGTAGGGAGCGGTGAACTCGAACGGAGCTGTAGTGTAGGATGAGAGGGTGCCGTCATAGTTGTTGCGGACATCCACCTGGCTGCTGCCGCCGGCGGCATACAACGGGGCATTGGCATAGGCCAAAGGAGCAGCGGCCAGGGGAGCCACCACACCGGGCTTGGCTGCAGAGCAGGCAATCAGAGCGGCGATGACCAACTGAAAATAAACGAATCAATTAGTAACATAATCCGTATCCTTCTGAAGCTAATCCCCTTTGAACTTACAAACTTGTACATTTTGCTGGTTGGGGGGTTGGTTGTTTCTAAAGCTCTTGAGCGATAATGTCCATTGGTGGCCAGCTCAGTGGCTTATATAGCTCGTGCCCATATCCGTGCTCTTTGGGGGACATTCTGTCTGAGTTGACTTTTGGTCGCTTCTTCTTCTTTAGCTGCTGCTGCTGGCCCACCTGGACGAGTGCCAGACAGCATACATGATCACCATTTGGCCAAGACGTGATCCGCCTTCAATTGCCCAATGTATTGTCGGAAGTTGTCCAAGTTGTCGCTCGAAATGAGTGCACAGGGAGAAATTTTAGACTTACCTCATACAAGAGTAATTAAAAAAGATAATTAGGATAATGTATAATTACTTGATTTATCTACTGATTAATTTTTAAAGGTTCTTAATTTTCAAAGGCTTCAACTGATTTATTTTTGATAGGTATATATATTTGGCTTTAATTTTTGCAGTGCTCTGATCGACATTTGTATGCAGTCAAAGACTCTCTTGGTGGCCAAGCTGTCTATGCGTAATTTGCAGTCTGTTTGGGCCATCAATGTGTGTCGTCTTGCATTGAATTGAACGCAATCTAAGCCAAATTGGCTATTAAAAATTGCAGTTCCCCGCTGGGCTGCCATTCCGGCCCACTAAATGTCTCATTAGTTCGCTTTTTAATGGCCAGCCAGAGAGTTGCCAATAAAAGGCGCTCGTAAATTTCCCTCTCATCCTTGCCGCCAAGCTTCGGAGGGTTCATTTGTTTTCGTGTCAGAACCGTTTGACCTTGACGCCATCTGGCCACAGGATGTGATGGAGGTGCCGCTGGATGGATGGAGCTGTAACAATAATTTCGTGCCGGCTTAATTGGCCAGAGGGGAGCGAGGGAACGAATGACTGAGTGGAGGCGATCATTTGGCCAAAACCGGCTTTGCGAATTTAATGAGCCATCGAAGTCACCGCTCTCTTGGTCACGTGCTAGCCTGGTCAGCATCTTCGTCATCTGATGAACTAGTGGCTCTGTGAATTACAGTGGTTAACCTTTTAGGAGGATAGTCATTTTATATATAATACAGGTTAATTTAAAAGGATATTCAAGCCCGAAAAGTTCTTAAATTCGGTATTGAATATGATAACACCGATCTTAGGTATATAACGTACTAATCTTTATTTTCATATTACCTAATCTTTAACATTATTTTATTTCCCAATACAAAATGTATCTAATCCATATATTTCCTTCTACAAATTCTTTATTTTCAACTTGACCAACGCATCTCTGCTTCAGTTGCTTCTGGAATCCAATCCGAAAATGATGACGACGATCTCTCAAGGCCGTTTTGGTGACGAGTCGAGAGGGCGAAAGATATATTTTATTTTATTTATTCGACGATCCACAGATCCAGTTGCCCCACGCATGTAACTGTATACTCTTCTGGTCTTCTGGTATCCGCATGGGATTGATCCAATCTTGGTTGGTTGTAACCACAGGTGGTGGTGTGAGGTTGACCTCCCGTAAGACAATTTCTGTCCAGAAATTCTCAACCGATGATGCCGTCGATTTTCCAGTGAGTCAAGCACGGAAATATGTACATTGTTGCCCATCATCATCACCATCGTCAGCACCGTCTTGTCTTCGACACTTCACTTGAGATCATTGCGATCCGCTCACTTCCTGGTCGAGATTTTTACAGTGGATTTGCAGCGCCAAAGCTGATTTAGAGCCCCTTCAGTAGCGATGATGTCTCCTTTTGGGAATTAAGAATTATTTGGCTGTCGTCAGTACCGTTTGTTTTAATGGATTTTCAGAAACAAAATTTATGCAGATCACATTCGAATTCCTGTTTCTTGTTTTCGAGGGAAATCAGGTTCTATCCCCCCCTCTGCCATAAATATCTATATAGATCCAGGTCCAAGTTCCCAGTTCCCAGTTCCGTTCCCAGATCTGATCAATGACACTTGACTTTAATTGGCTTTCATAAATAAACGTCAGATCTTAGACACTGCGGTTTAGGTTAGTTTTTTCTCGCTCTTGTCTTTTTCTCAACCATTTCCAATGCCAAGTTTAAGGCCCCATTGTGAGGAGCGAATGATGAAGATCTCTTGGCCCGATTGATGTGTTTATGTATGTAAATGCCCAGCCATTAAACCATTCGAGGAGAGTGAAAGGTGTAAACGCAGACCTCTTTTTTTCTGAGCCATGTCTGCGCTGCGACCTTCAAAACATTATGCAAATGCAGTCTCCATCGATGGCAATGAGACAAAAATGGCCAATAAAAAAGCACTCACAACTCGCACCGAAGAGCTAAGCTTAGATGGCAAGTTTATTATCAATGTGTGTTGTGTGTATTCACTAGGAGAAGAAGCCACCGCAGTTTGATGATCAGTCGGGATGGCTCACTCCTCGTCTTGATTAAATTTATTACTATTCTAGGATCTAAATAGGATGGGCAGGCTTAACGCCTCTGGATCAGTGGCGTTCCATAGGAGGTGAGGCCCGTGGTCCTTGGCACACTGGCATAGGGAGCTCCAGCCTGCAGCGGCAGCTGGGCCACATTCAAGGGAGCAATGCCAAAGGGCACTGGCAGCTTGAGATTCAGAGAATTGGCATCCACAGCAGGCGATGGAAAGGCTCTTCCTGTTCCAGCTGGAGCTGCTGCCTGAGCCTGTGGCGCTGAGGAGGCCACCTGGAGTGGAGCTGAGGGTGCTCCAAATACATATCCCTGACTGGTCAGTGCCTGGGTAAACGCAGCCTGCTCCAAGGCGGGTTCAGCAAACTGACGGGCCACCTGATGATATTGCTGAGGTTGAGCCTTGGCCGCCACTTGTTGATACCTCTGCTGGACTACTCTCTGGACAGTCGGCTGCTGCTGCCTGCTAGGAGCGGGGTAATGGTAGTAGGCCACCTGGGAGCTGGGCGTGATGGAGTATTCCAAGTGGGAGACATCGCCCAAAGTCAGGCTGAGGAGTTGCAGCAGCAGAATCCATAGGATAGAGAACTGAAAGTGGTTCAATTAAACCTTTTGATGATGTTTTACAATCACAAATATTATCACTCACATAAGAAGCCATTGTCACAGCACTGTTCTTTTGTTCTTATTCTTAAATTGATATTTTAGTGTCGATATAATCCAGCTACCGATCGGTGTATTTAATTCGTTGATGTTCGCAGTCGCAGCTGTGGCAGCTGATTAAAATTGGTGAGGCCGCTGAAGATGCTTTTTATATGCGTATTGAGGGGCTCTGCGATCGGTTCTCAGACCTGTTGCCGTCTCTCACTCTCAGCCACTTGGCTTCTTCGATTTCGAACAACGCTTGAGTGCAGGCCAAGACGAAGCTTTTTGGCATTTTGTTGCCTTTGTTTATTTACTTTGTTTGATTGTTGGCTTTTCGGTGGCTTAACAAAGCTGTTGCCGAGCAGTTTTGTCTATTGATAATATTGATATTTGACTGCCTTGCATATAAATCAATGTTGGTCATTTTTATTGGCATCCAAACTATGCAACTAAACAAACTTAGATTCAGTGGCTCAGTGTGACTTACAGTATTTGCAGGGGGTTGTCTCTGGATTTTGGCAAGCCCCCTCTGAGTTGAGCCCCTGTTTCTATTCACAGCATTTGGCTTATTAAACACGGAGAACGTCATGTGACTCCTGCCGCACAAATATAAAAGGTATTAGCCATCAGTCCGAAACAGAGGACTTTGGCGGATCGGTACGAGATTTGCATGCTAAAGACCTGATTGTTGTCTATGTATCTCTGAATTTGATTTTCCCTCTTTCTGCGCGGTGCGAGGCTCTCGTCAAAGATTGACCTCTGCCGGTTGGGCATAATCACAATCTATGCGCATCTAATTTTGGATTACACTGAACAATATGGGGGGTTTTTAAATAACTACATAACGAAGAATTAAACAAATCAACTAATAATTAAAATACATTTTATTAAGGTCCACATTTAAGTCATGAAAAAGGTAATTTGAATATTTAAAATGTTAATAACATCTTAAAAATAAAAGAAATATATATCTTTATATACCTTGTATTTTAACAGACATTTTCTTGAATTTTTAAAAAATAATTCCCTTTGTCACGATTAAGGGAATTCTAATACATAGAAATACTATTTTTATGAATAAAACATTATTTTCAAAATTATTAAATGTTTATGCCGAAAACCAGTTTCTTAACTGGCAAATATGACACCTATTATTCATTCAATCGTCGAACACGGAAATCATAAATTTATTTATTTTTCCACCTATTTCCCATTGGGTTGAAGTGTAATTAAGATTGTTTATCGTCTCTTTAAACTATTGACCCAATTGGCTGGGAACTTGGCCCTCTCATTCACACGTTGAGTTAGGTCAGTTGGTCAGGAGAAGCCGTTTAGAGTTATTAACCGCTGATCGGTCTCGGCCCTCTCAGTGTCATGCCTCGCCTTTGACCAAAATTGGCGATGCCGAAAATTGCTTGGAGCCATGAAAAAACAACTGAATTATTTATGGATTTTGTCGATATAAGCATAATTAAATCGCTAAGCTGCGAGTTCTTCGCATAAATTCACGACTCGCGTATAATACGAAACATAACAACATTATTTAGATTTAATTAATTGCTAATTTGAGGAAATTATCATTCATAGTTATGCATAATGAGCCCCGCGTCGTCTGTCTGGGTTTCTCGAGTTACTACCAGCCCTGAGAGTTAAAGGCAATAGGCGAATGATGAGAAGGAGGAGCTCCGTAGACAGCAGCCGGAACATGAGGAGGCGGGGACCCAAAGTGGAGTTTGTATTTGCTGTAGGACGGAGGAGCTGCAAAGTGGTAACCGGTTGGCGGAGCAGTAAATCTCGTCAGGAATTGTGGCGATGGTGCAGCAGCATAGTGAGTCACTGGCTGTGGTGCAGCAGCATAATGAGCCACTGGCTGTGGTGCATAATGAGCCACTGCTGGTGCTGCGAAGCCCGAGTATGTGGTAGTTGTGGTGGTCACTGGTGCACCCAGGGAATACTTGATAACCGGCTGTGGAGCCTCATAAGCTACTGCATACTTAAAGATGGCCGGAGGAGCTGGTGGAGCTCCATAGGCCAAGGCATGATGAGCACTAAAGGCGGCAGGAACAGTCACAGTATCCGAGACAGGAACAGCAACGGGAGCAGGAACTGCTACAGGTGTGGGCACAGCCACAGGGGCAGGAACCGGAACTGGCGAAGGCACCGGAAATGGCACAGGCACTGGAACACCTACAGGCACACCCACAGTCGATGGGGAATGAAAGAAGCTTCCGAAAACGGGAGAGCCAAGCCACAGCAGAACACTCAAAAGAACACTCTGGATAATAAAATTATATATTTAAATTGTTTATAAAGTTAATATTCACTTTGCCCTTACAATTTTATACATTTTTTCCCCCGTTATGCTTTCTTCCGTTTTCAATTTCCGTATTAAGTCACTTCTCTTCGACACTTTCACACGTAATGAATCGATTTTGGTTGACCATTGCAGGTTTATATACCACGATCCGAGAGTTGCGTCGTCCACATTATGCTGATTTTGGGTAGGAGTACGGGTACTTTAAGTACGAAAAGTAAAAACTCCATTAAGGGATCTGTGCACGACGTGCAATCGACAAGCGAATCGTGCGGCAAATGCATGCGACAAGTTTTGCAATACTCCATCTTCAAGGGGAAGTCTGATGGAGACCCAACCATCAAATGAATTAATAAATAAATGTGTCTCTAGAAAATGTAATAATTATCCAATGAGCTCTTTAAAACCAAGACATTCCTCTAAAATAAGCTTAAGTTAAGCTCCTTTTGACATCTCAACCAAGATAAGTCATCGAAGTTCAGGTGCCATTAGCATGAACACACTTTACTTGGACATATATCCATGGATCACATTTACCAAGTGCAGTGCGACTTTTACTGCCGCCGTCTCTCTGGCAGTTGCAACAACCCATTGCGATCACGTTCCAGGCACCTTTTTATGCCTTATGACTCTGATTGATGGCCGTTGCCGAAATATAAATGCCAAAATATCACACGCCAGTTAAAAGTCGATTTATTACCACCGCCAACAAAGCCGGCAAAGCTCTCAATTACTCAGGGACAAGCCCAAAAGTTGGCAGTACATTTCGGGTGTAGAGGGAATGGCCCAAAAGCGAGCAACTCGTGCTCCATAAAATTTGGAATCCGTCGTAAACAGGCGAAATTCCCGCACGGGTGGCCAATTAAATTGGCTGCCAAATGCGCGACACGCGCTCATCGAAATTGTCAACACAAGACAAAGAAATGGTGGAGGGGCTGAGCCATAAATCGAGGGAAAACCGGCGAAATTACCATAACAAAGTGGCTAAATCAGAAATCGATATGTTCACCTTCGCTGAACCGAAAAGCGTCGAGATTTCCACGAAGATTTCCCGTGCCGCGACAAGTGGAGCACACGCCCAGCTCTTGAGAGCTCCTCAAGAGGTTGCCCCGCGATTTCCACCGCTTTTCCACCACTACCGATGGCAACAGGTGCACTTGAGCCATCATCATCATCATCATCGGAAACATATAATGTAATGCGTACTAAATCGCTGCACGTGTTTCGCGACAACAAATGCGAGTTCTCTTTCCACGAAAACCAAACTTTGTTGCAAGCTACTTGAATTCACTCAACTGGTTGTAAGTTAGCTGGAAAATATGCTACAATGTGGTTTATAAAGGAAAATTTACATGCACTTAAATTAAACTTGCTTTAAATAATTCCTGTGTTAAATCAATTTCTATTGACAAACTAAATTTAATTTGTGTGAAGGAAGCTGAATATGCTAAATATTAATTGAACGTATACTTGATATTTATTGTATTCATAAAACCTTCCATATTGCTCATACGCAGTGTGGGCAGTCAACGAACTCAGGACATGGCAAGGACATCTGAGTGTGCGCTCCCTGACGCTATTGCATTAGATTATCAACTGCAATTCCCTTTTATAAACAACAACGAATTAATTAAGAGCGGGCAGGGCAGAGCAATGGGCGTGGCTTCTATTTCTTCGGAAAGAGTCAATGTCCCTGGTCGAGGTCAGCACGAGGAAAACGTGTGCATTTCCACAGTACGTGCAGTTCCCGCGGCCAGGGATCAGCTTTGCCGGGAAATGGCTTGAACCTTTGATATTAATTTTCCATCTTGTTGTGTTAACTGTGCTCGGGAATCATGTTTCCGTTGGTCCAGAGACCGATTTCAATGCAGGTTTTAATTGCAATGCCCGCGGCTTCAATGAACACCGCTGGTCCATGCGTCCTGTGGAAGAAAGGTCCTTGCCCTGTGTACCAAGTCAATGGCTTGTTAATAATGTCCAACAGAAGCAGAGCAAAATGCAAACCACTTTCCGCTTGAATAATTCAATTAAGCTTAGCATACTCTCGGGCTAACCGGAAAAACTCAAGGGAAATGCGTAGAGCTTGGCATACGATGAATTTCCACTCAAAAACAACAACAGCAGGTATGTACGAGGTTGTGGGAATTCACTGAGAGCCGGTGCATGTGTGCCATGAGAGCAGCTGCCACAAAATGCATCCACTTAGTGTCACTCGGCGGACGGGCTTGAATGAATATTCAATGGAAATGTAGGAAGCAGAAGTTTAGCCCACCTTTGTCTGCGAATCTCTAAATCTACGAATCTGCGTGTCTCCGAAGGCTGTTGCCAAATTATCGCTTGACTGGCCAAAGGCACCGATGTGGTTGTCGTTGTAACCATAAATTTTGACATGGTTTATGATCAGGCGGCATAATTTATTCCCAACCGAACTGCGACGAATTAAACTTGTCTTGGGCAAATTGAGCTGTGCACTTTGTCAAGGTCGAAGAGCCGCCAACAATGGCTTATTGTTATTATTATATTATTATTACGTTGCGCGCTATGAATTATATTTAGCAAGCCCCACCCTTCAAACGCGGCATTTCCACTCGGTTTCCACAATAAATTAAAGAAATTCATAAATCGATTCCAAGTTAGCCACCAGGCAAATATTAATACAAGACTTTTCAATTTTCGCATGAATTATGCGGGCCAGGATCAGCCGGACGGCTAAAAAGGTAATTAAGTGGCTCAATTCACTTCTGAGCAGCTCTTGATGTGCTCCAATTTTTCACTTGCGAAACCAGGCAAAAAGCATTTAGCTGAGACATTTGGCCGGGCATTAATAAATAGATATTTCAACGCACTTTTTCCCCACATATTTTTTCATTTTCTTCCCCTGGTCAACCTGTTGACGGGCGCACGCGTTTGTCGCTTAAGTCTTTCGTTTCCCCGCGATGATAATTGCCAGGCGGCGGGGGCGGGAGGGAGTGACCACTTCTCTGGGGCGTTGCAATAAAACAATTTTGTTCGCTATTTTTGATTTTTTTTTCCTTTGGAAATATTTCAAAACACTTGACGGCTGGCGATATGAATCGAGCGAGTTTCCCAAGTCGCTAAATTAATTTGAAGTGCAATTGAAGTTCCGATTGGGAGTTGAAAATCGTGTGGATTGTGATGCAGTGAATTAAGAGTTCGGTGATGGAAATACTAGCAGGTGTCTGGGTGTGAGATATTCGTGACGAAGCAGCTAAGTAATTTGATCTCAAATTAATAGAAGAATATTACAGATTGAACTTAAAAAGGCATTTTATCAAGCGTATTATTAAAAGCTGAATAGTAAAACTAATTCTTATATAATTATATATTTTTTTATAATAGAATTAAATAAAAGAATTTTGTAATAAATAAAATAGTTCAGAGAATCAGTAACCCATCTATTTAAGGAGTACATTATGATTTTGTTTATGCCTTTATCCATTATTAAATATACTATAGAAGCTATGTTAAAGGAACGTTTTGTATTAACCTTTTGCTGATACCTACTTTAAAACCTATTAAATTGTTTTTCAGTGGAACTAAGTGCCTGAACTCTTCATCTACATTCGAATTACTTTTACTATCTTTTAAATGTAGCTTATATCTGCATTAAAGGATGACCTATTGCACCTAAGAATCTTAAAATATATATTTAAATAAATAAAAGCAATCATAGTTTAGTGTTTAGAGTCATTTATCGTTTATTTACAGAAAGTGTCAAAGCCACAAGGGCAGAGAATTTGCACCTTTACAGCAAAATCAACGAAACTTGATCCTTCCTTCAATCTCTCGTACTCGCCGCCTCCCGCTTATATGTCCTTAGTTCTCTAGGTGTCTCTGTCTCTAGTTGAGTTCTTGGATTTCATTTTGGGGATTCTGAGGGTTTTTGAAATTTGTACACAACTCAAGGTTTTTGTTTTGTTTTTCTGCCTCTGACTACGAAATGCACATGCAAATTCAACACTTTGACGGCAGCAAAATGCGAATTATCCACTTCAAAGGGGGTCGTCAACGGGGGCATGGTTTCCTCACTAGATCAGATCCTTAGTGCAGGTATCCGTGTCCGGCGTATCCCAGACCACCATAGCCGGCGTATCCCAGACCACCGTATCCGTAGCCGCCATAGCCGCCATGGTAGGTCGAGGTGGTGTGCAGGGCTGGAGCGGCATGGACCAGAGGGGCGGCGTGGACCAGGGGAGCGGCGTGCACGACGGGAATGGCCTTGGTGGCCACCTTGTAGGTGTTGGCATACGAAGTGGCCACCGGGTGGGCCACAATGGGAGCGGCGTAGCTCTTGATGATGGGGGCGTGCGAGATCACGGCCGGAGCAGCGTAGGCCGGGGCCAGGGCAGCGCCATATCCCAGTCCATAGCCATGGCTATAGGGTGCGATCACTCCGGCATTGGCCACGGCGCACAGGGCAGAGATGAGGGCAATCTGGGGAGGAAGAAATCGTATATAATCCCTGAGTTCCTGCGGTATCCTTGCTGTTTGTCCCGTCCTTACCAGTTTGAACATTTTGCTGGCTTTGTTTTGGATTGTTGGCTTTGACTTCTTGAGTAGTCGAATGTGTTATGCTTAGACGTCTCGACTTGCCCTCGTATTTATACCCGCAACATGAGAAATATTCTGACAAATCTTGGCCCAAAGAGAGGGAGAGAAAATCGCAGAAAACACGCCCGAAGCTTTGTGCATTTGCCGACCAGCCAGCAGATCGCGAAAGAGATCAGTCGCGATCGGTCACGCGGCGGTTTCGGCTTTGAGTCCCAGAGTCCCCCAGTCCCAAGCGCTTTTCATGGAAAACCTCTATGGGCATTTAATTCAATTTGCAATTTTTTTTTGTCTTCTTATTTTTTTTTTGTCAGCTATTGTTGGCTTCCAAGCGGCAGCAGTTGCTCTAACGGAAATTTTTTATATGTATTTCCATTCATGTCGGTGGGGAAATAGACAATTGTTTTCCACCGGTTTCCAGCTGAGAAAATGCTAGTTTCGATTATGGTTCTGCCCAAGTATTA